AATTAAAGCTTAATCCCTTTGCTAGACGTATATGTAAACTTTTTTTGGTCGGCAAAAACAACGAATGGCGTTTTCTTTTCTCGAAATAATGTTGCCATATTTTCCTCAGCCCTTTCACGGTTTTACGTGTTCATTTCTCAAAATATTGCCCTCCGAGTAAGCAAAAGTGCCATACTTTCTGCTAATAACCCCATTTTGCAGGACAAAAAGAAGGCAAAATTGTTCTATAGCAAAGATGTTTAGTGTAAAAAATAATTCCCAAATCCTTCATTTCGGATTTACGCAATAAATCAACACTATTTAGAGATCAGTCGAAAATCTTGACAGATGCGCTACGGTTATATGAGACAATGCAACACTTACTGATGTTGAGCCTTAAAGTATAGACAGACGGCAACGTTGATCCGGATTAACACCGAAATTGATGTGATCAAAATTGTGCCTTGACAGACGGCAGTAATGCGGATTTACGAGTCGTGAGGTCGTAGGTTCTAATCCACAGCCACACAAAAAAAAAGAAGGGCTGTTACGATTATAATGAAAATGCAGTATCGTAGTATTTTTGTTATCCTTAATCCGAATATGCCTTAAAATTTTTTTTGTATTTTCACACGAATTTTATGTCAAATTAAAAGTTTGACAGTCGACAGCTGTCAAATTGACAGCTGTAGAATGGGCTGTCAATTTCTCTCAAAAATAAAGAAATTTTCTTAAGAATTAAACGTACTATGTTTTAAGGCTCACTGATGAAATAAACTGCCATTTTCAGTTTAGTTACACAATATATTTGTTCAGAAAAATTTGATTTATTATATACGAGGGATCATACATATCTAAAATGAATTTATGATCAAATTAGGAGTAATTACATTTATAAATTAGGAATAGTTGGGGTCGTCTGCTATATGTTCAGCGCAACAGTTTTTTAAGATTTTTTTTTATTTTATGCGAAATTCGTCATTACCAAAACTTCAGTTTTCTCATTTTTAAATAAAGTTAAATATTAATATAGATTTGAATTTGTGGAAATTTCGGACGCCATATTGGACTTTGCATTTTGAATTTTCAAAAACTAGCTTGAAATTTGTAATGACCAAACTTAAGAACCTCGAAATACCAAATTTCATGAAAATGCAGTATTTTTTTAAATTCTTGGACGCCATGTTGGATTCGTTATGGGAAAGTACAAGTTATTAATGCTCGATTTTTATTTTTTTTTTTTGTATGGAAGAAAATAATAACGTCAGCAAAAGAAAAATATCAAAAATAAACGCGAATTCATAGCCTCTTGAAACTGGCATGGGCTGCAAAACTGCATACTTGGAATTTTTCTTAAAATTACGAATACATTTTTTTTAATCTTTCTACAACGTTCGATATGCGGGTTTATATGGTGTTTATATATTACAAATTAACTAGACTTTGATAAAAAAAAATTAATAAACATTAAGCAAACAAAAGAGAAATACATAGTAAAAACCTATTTTACCTATATATTTACACATTACTGTGTGTAATGCATTTTTATAAGCGCTTCCATGAACAATTCGCAGATTATATCGTTTTGTATGGACGACTAATAAATTTATATTGCATTAAAAATATAATTCGTATGGAAAAAACAGCAGTATCAATTTTCGGAATCCAAAAAAAAGTATAACATCGAGCCCTAACCGCCAAAATAACGTAAACGACATTTTCCCCAAATTTTCAGAAATACATCTAGATGCTCTATGAATATTTCTGCACCAAAAAGAAAATTTTGAAAAGATTGCCGCTTACGCTATTTTGGCGGTTAGTGCTCGATATGTACTGCAAAAATAAGTATAGATACGAGCATTATACTATATATGTACACAATTGGAACATGTCGTTACTTATGTTTCATACAACATAAAATATGGGCATGGGTTGGAAGCCTTTTTGCTTACTTACTTAACTACAGGAAAAAGATAAAAGGTGAAAAAAAAAACATTGAAAATTTTTAGTATGCAGTTTTGTGTACATGATTAGACTTACAACTAGCGGAGAACATAAAAATATTTATTAATTTTTTTAGTTTTATCTTATTTTGTATTCGAAGAAAATTTATATAAATTAAAGGGGTCCTTTGGTTTCACTTCTTTATGAAAATTCAAATGGCACTTTTAAGTTTAATTATGGAATGTTATTTAAATGCGATTTGATTTCGTTTTTCATATATTCCAAACAAGTGGCAACGCTGTTGCTTGTCCCCTGAAGTTGTTATGTATGAAATATTTAAACGAATATTTTGTGTAAAACCGCTGATTGTTATTTGGTTTAAACAAAGGGTTGCATATTTGTTTTGAGCTTAAATTTTTAAATTGCGTTGGTGAAACTAATAGTGTATTTCCACCAATTCTTAACTGCAGTTCATGATTATAGGAAAAAGGAGATTACAACGCGAAGGGGGTAATACTTAGCGCCTTTTAAGTACAAGCAAACGAAAGTGTAAGTAGGGATAAAGCGATACCATGGAAGTATCGATACCTGTACTTGGAAGTAGCATTGGATTCCTACTAAGTATCGGGCTAAAAGTACCTACTTATATAGATAGTATTTGTACCTACATATATAAAAATTGTTTGTATAAAAAAACGGTATCACATATCTATGAACTTTTATCAAAATAACTTATGTGATTATCATTTTGGATTTTAGACGAATGCTACTTAATCTTTTTAAGAAGAATTTTAAGTTTTAAAACATATTTTACTAGAATGGACTCCCAAAAAACACGGAAAAAGTACAAAGTAAAATAAGTTGTTTTTAAAAAGTCCCCAGAATTTTGTTAACAGAATTTGTTCTTTTTTATGTACGTATTTTATTTGTTATACATAAATATTTATTTTGCACAAAGATAAAGCGATTTAGATCAAAACCAATTATTTTATAACTTATTTCAAACATATTAATTAATTAATAAAAGTTATCTGTATTGTAACATTGTTCAACAGAATTTTTGCAGAGTAACAATGGTATATCTCAGAAAAAAGTAATCATGTCGATAATTTTTGGAGGACAAAGTTATAGCATTCATATCGCTAGTTTAGCTTTTCAAAACATTTCCTTCAAGAATTTTGCAGAAGATTCCGTTGCAAATTAAAAGATTAAGAATTGTTTGTGAGCTTAACGATTTTTCTATGTCTCTTTGGACTTAGGAAATTCGCCTTTAATTGAATATAACCGGGAAGAAATAAAACAAGGACGTTAGTTAATCCTTTTGGAGACGTTGCGTTTTTTATTTTCCTTTTTTCCTATATCCAAATATGAGTTTTCACAAAAAGTTGACTTAGCAACTTTTCACTTCAAGCTAGCGATATGTTAATGAGATGATAATAGGTCTTTCTTCGTAGGACTTTCTAAACTAAAGCTGATGTCACATAAAACTTTTGCTTCGCTTTACGTGACAGATTCGCTTTGACAGATAAGATGAATTGTATGAAAATGCACAAAGCATGCCACATAAATCGTTGAAGCGGCAGCGCGAAGCGAAAAGATGGTCAACTCCCATCTTTTTGCGCGCTTTGACAATCAGCCGGTTTAATATTTATTTTGTTTCGTCCAAATTCGGGTTTTCATGCAGAAACATAAAACTTAATTACATTGCTGATAATTTTAAATCAAAATAATTAAAATCCACAGCAACTTTGATGAGTAAAAAAGCGGTACAACATTGTTTTCTTGGCGTTCATTGTGGCATACCTTTTGCGTCTGGCGCTTTGCTGGCAAAGTTATAAATGTCACGCAAAGCTACAAAGTTTTATCTGGCATCAGCTTAAATTGAATAAAAGTTTAGCCATTTAGATTAAAAAATAAAAGTCCGAGGATAAAATTGTCACTGAATCGCGTTTCGATACAAGTACTATCTCCCGATATCTACCCAGTATTCGGTTCAAAAGTATCGATACCAAAATTACTTGGTAGCGGCCGAAAATTATCGAGTATTTACTAGTATCGTTTTGCCCCTAAGTCTAAGAGCAAAAAGGAAGAAAAAAACCTTTCCGACCACCATATGCTAAAATTTTCAGAACTTACTGTTTTGTGATTCGGTTATTGGGACAACCTCAATCAACGCAACTGCCCGAATTTTCACCGGTTGCTTTTACCGAGGGCGTATTGTATTTATATATCGACACCTGAGTGGAAGATCGACCTATCTCGGCAGCCAGTTCCAAAATGCCCTATCTCGGAAAACTTTTCAAGAACGCCCTATTTCAGAATTTTATTGAAAAACATCCTATCTAAGAAATTCGTTAAAGAATGCCCCATCCCAGCTGAAAATATATTGATTGCCAGCTGGAATAGGGCACATTCTTCAAGAAAATTCTGAAATAGGGGCATCTTGAAAAGTTGTCTGAGATGGGGCGTTTTCGAACTGGCTGCCGAGAGAGGTCGATCTTCCACTCAGGTATCGATATATACTTCCATATCGCTCATTTACTTCAATAGTGTCATAACGCAAAAAACCATTATAGGGCCGATTGTGTTCTTCGTAAATTTTTTTAGGTATTTATAACTGTACACATATATAATTAAAGAAAATAGGCGTTATCATGAGTTCCATTTTCCCCGAATCGGTTCACTTTTCACGTTTGGTTTCCATGTATTTACTATGGACGGAATGAAAATTTTTGAGTGACTTCTTCGTTTTGCGAAACTAGTGCAGCTAAACTATCGCAAACTATCGAGTGGCTTCACTATCGATATTTTGCCAGCTCTATTCTCTATCTAGGTTGATTGGAGTGGTGAAATTAGCTGTCTGTGAATCGGTTAGGCAGAGGTGGAAAAATATGCTGGTTGCGAACCGATTAGGAATTTTGCGAAATTAAAACATCCGGCATCATTACAAAAGGCTCATTATTAGGGCTCGGAAGCCCATGCAAATGCATGTTTTATTGGGCATCGTCAAAAGGGGATGGTTAAGTTAAGTGTTGTTTTGTTACAATCATTTAAATTTAGTGCAAGCACTAACTAGATCTCAACTAGTGGAAGACTGTCGGAGAGAACAGGCCTATATATCTGATCAATACGAAATTAATCGAATATGGGTCATGGGACCGAGGGGTATTTATATTAACGAGGCAGAGGACGAACTAGCAAGGTACCGTACAGGAACGTATAGGATTACCCGGCAGTTTTGGGTGTCCTACGACCCACATAAAACCAAAGCTCTCTTAAGAATGAGCAAAAAAGATACCTACAAACTCTCTGTATGACGTATAGAAATTCATTAAAGCCGACTAACTATCTCAAACTATCCATGTTTCTATTTACACAAGATAGTAACTGACTGCTTGATTATAAATAAATTTTCTATTTAAATATGTATGGTATTTTGAAGTAAATTGATTTCGTTATTTTCTTGTTAAAATGTGTGTGTTATTTATTGTTTTTCCGGCAATAAAATGTTAGCAACATTTTTTTTAGCAAATTTTACTTATTTAAAGCGCCTATTTTTGAATTTTGAGTGCATGAGATTCCGAGCCCTGCTCATTATAATACCTATTTCGCTTGTTATGCCGTGCGAAAGAGTGGGACAACACGTTCATATGTTTATTTGTGTGTATAAATAATTGCTGTTGTTATTTGTTTACTGACAAGAGTCAAAAGTGTAAAAGTCAAATGCATGTAGATTTTTAATTTTGCTAAAAGGAGTCGAACATGCCCAAATATTTCGATTGATTTGGAAATTTCTATTAAATAAAACAGTGACGTGGGGAATATGTACTTCTTAAAAAGCCTGTTGGCCGCGGCTGCGAATGTACTCGATACATCTTGAAAATGGGCAAGGATTTAAGGAGGCAACGAAAATCTCTCGCTTTGGAAGCAGTGCAGAGCATCAGCTCTAAATGCTAAAATTTGAACAAAAAAGTCGAAATAGGGCAAGCTAACTTTGAAAATATTATATGCATATATGAAACTAGAAGAAAGTTTGTAATTAAATTCAGCGGCCCTAGGTGCTTATGCAGATACATGCATATATATATATACGTATATACATACGTACATACATATGCATTCGCTATATAGGATTTGTTCATAAAATGCCCAGCGTGTAGTTTGTGTAAACAAAGAATGGAAGCACAGAATTGTATGTTTGAGAGCATATACATATGTATGTATTGTATGTGCGTGTATTTAAAATAATTGTGGCTATATATTAAAATGCATGTGTAAGTCTCCACATGGCTGGAGAATTGATATACACAGATCGAATTGTTTATAAAATGATCCAAAGCAGGAAATAGGGCAGGCAATAAATGAGTGCAGTTGTTGGTACCTATTGATAAAAACAGTATCTATGAATGGAGGGGATTGTTCGGGCACAAAAAAGTGAAAAGCGGATAAGAATTTAAATATTTATCAACTTTATATATTTTTCTTCTGATGCATTACATTTTCTCAATAGGTAAAAATGCATTGAGAGGTTTCTACCAATAACTATTAATGGGTCATATAACATACATGCATACATACATATGTAGATCCCCATTTAAGTAAGCAGTGAGCAGGCTACTGCAATGGTTTATATTAAAAGGACTTGTTTTGCGTCTGCAACATATTAGAGAGAGAAAGAAAACTATCATGTTGTGCTGGTGAAGTATGTATGTATATTGTTCGTACTTTTATGCGTGCCCCACAAGAAAAAATGCAAAGGCGTGCAGCATGCAACACAATCATTTTTAAAAAA